AAACCCTACTTGGAAGCCTGTGGCAGACATAAGACATTTAGCTAAATTATCAAATCAGCTTTAAGGATACATCAATTCTACATTTTTTCTACGTTAGAGAAAATTCTTTTCTAACTCAGCTAATACGGAAGGTAGCTATTCTGAAGAGGAATAATATTTGTACCACACAGTTAACATTTTAAATGTGTGCAAATCTCTCATGTACTATCAACAAGTAGTACTCCAAATAACTCTCAGCACAGCCCAAAAGGATTGTTAGCTACAAAGAGATGACCAGTCATCCTGGTTTACACAGACTATCTCAGTTTGGGCACTGAATGTGGGAAAGCCCTACGCCCCAAAGCAAACAGGACAATAGATGTCACTTAAACAACAAGAAAAATAAACAAAAATAGGAATTTCACAGTTCTGTACTAAGGAAGAAATTGGAGTATTATTTGGTAACTCTCTGCTAGGACTGCCAGATTAGCTGTGACCCTAATCGAAGAAGAAAAAATAGCAAGCAGGATCCTACCCAGCAGGATACACTACAGGCTGAATATCCAAAATGCTTAGGACTAGAAATATTTAAGATTCCGGAATATTTGTATAGAAAATTGAACATCCTTAATCCAAAAATGCTCCAAAATTTGAATCATACCAAACACTAAAAAAATGTTGGACCGGGCTGGGAAGGTGGCTCAGTGGTAGAGCGCTTGCCTTGCAAGCATGAGGCCCTGGGTTCGATTCCTCAGCACCACCAAGCAAAAAGAAAAAAGCCGGAAGTGGCGCTGTGTCTCAAGTGGTAGAGCGCTAGCCTTGAGCTGAAGAGCTGAGGGACAGCGCCCAGGCCCAGAGTTCAAGCCCCACGACCGGACCCTCCCCCCCCCAAAAAAAAGTTGGACTTCTGAGCATTCTGAATTTCAGATTTCCTAATTAGGGATGCTCAGCACTCTAATCACATGTTCACAAAGGCTGCTTGTTCAAAGAAATGGTAGCATTATTACCCTCCAGCTCTAGAGACTAAATCTCTCTAGTTTCATAGCCAATGGCCTTCAAAAAACAATCCTATTACTGGGATAGAATATTTAAAGAGTCTCCTGGTCAGAGACTCAGCACCAGGAAAGCCTCATTATCATTTCTGTCCAACTCTCACCTTTTAAGTCATAGCAAATAAATGAACTCATTCTTTGTTCCTAGTGATCTAACTATTTTCTTGAAATCAATCTTCAAAAAATTGTTTTTTTTTTTTGCTACATAAGCTTATAAAGTTTCTGTGGGACTGTATTCTTTGAGGCTTCTACTTTTTTTAATGCCAGTCCTGGGGCTTGAACTCAGAGCCTGAGCTCCTTTTGCTCAGGCTAGCCCTCGAGCTACAGTGCTACTTCTAGTCTTTTCTGTTTATGTGCTATTGAGGAATCAAACCCTTGGCTTCATGCATGCTAGAACAACACTCTACCACTAAGCCACGTTCCCAACCTGGGGATTCCACTTCTTTCCTGCCTTAGTACTTCCCCTGAAACTTGCTCTGCTTGCCTTTCCAATACGGACTGCTATCCAGTAGGCTGCCTTTACCATGCTGAAAACTGGACACCACTACTCCATCTCCCTGATACCAAACACCAGTAATTACTACCTGTTCCATAGTCTCTGAACATTCAACTTGTCTGTCCAGATTTTTCCCTAAATCACACAACTTGGAACTCTGAAATCACCTAAATGCCATGAAGTATTTGATTAGATCCTAAACTCCAATAATTCACTACCTTTAGTACAACCTACCCAAACTGAACTCCAGGACAAATATATCTAGAATATAATTTCTAGTGGCTCCCAACTTTCAGAGAGAACATGAACAATAACTTTAAATCACTTTTTCCAATAAAGTTGTGACTTCTGAAGACAAACTGGGCTATGGGAAATAAATATATGGTTAGAAAAAGGGTGAGAATAGAAGTGTGTAGAATATTGCTTTAAAAAACTAATAAGCAGGATCCCTTTCGTAAGGGATGGGTTGAACACCTGAAAAGTTCAGAACAAGTTCAGAAATCAAGAAGAGTTTGAAACTGAACTTGAACTTTAATCCTTATTAGTAAAAATTTTAAACATTTACAGAAAACCATAATGAAATCCTATATTGCTCAGCCTGACTAATTAATGGGACTTTGCTATACCAACTTATTCCTCCCCTGACCCCCAATAGATGAGATAAAACAGATTTTTTTAAAAAATAGGATACTAAGATGATGAAAAGAGCCGTAGTAAAATAATTTTCGAGGGGGGAGGGACGGAGAAGCAGCTGGCCAGGCCCAGCAATCCTATGTACTCAGGAGGCTGAGATTTAGAAGACCACAATGCAAAGCTAGCCTGTAAAGAAAGTCTAAGAGATTCCATCTCCAAAATAACCAGCTAAAAGCCAGGCTGGAGACATGACTCAAGCGGTAGAGTGCACTAGATACATACTCAAGCTGGAGAAGCAAGCTGTATGAGTGCCGAGTTCATACCCTGGTACTGATAATAAATAAACAAACACACTAATAGTTACGGATTTAGAGTTATAATCTAAGTACTATGAGTAATAAATAGCTAAAAGTTTAGGCTTTAAAAAAGCATCTCTTAGACTGGGAAGGTAGCTCAGTAGTAGAGTGCTTGCCTCGCATGCATGAGGCTCTGGGTTCGATTCCTCAGCACCACATAAGCAAAAAAAGCCAGAAGTGGCACTGTGGCGCAAGTAGTAGAACGCTAGCCTTGAGCTGAAGAGCTGAGGGACAGTGCCCAGGTCCAGAGTTCAAGCCCCACAAGTAACAGTGAAAGGTTAAAGTTTGAGGTAGTGACCACCACATGTTGCTTGTTTCTGTCTAGCAAAGCAACACGTGGTGGTAATCAAAATACCTGGTTGATTGTATGCCTTTATAAGATCTGCAAATCCTTAGCTCGGGGCTCTCCTCCTGGGCTCTGCTGTGTCAGAGTGTAGGACAAGGCCCAAGCTGCAGCCCGTTTAAATAAAACAGCTGTAGAGTCTGACTCTTGGTGGTCATCTTGCAGGGAGGGGTCCTGCGACCTTGGTATAACAGGAAAAAAAAAAGCATCTCTTTCATAGTACAACAAAAAATTTCAACAGAAAAGCTATGGGAAAAAATGTATCATACACATTTCCTGTTTATAAACAGTTTAAGATTATAAGTTAATTTTATAAAAATGAGAAATTTATCAAAGTATAAAATATATCTAAAGTTTGAAATGTTCTACTGAAAACTCAAGTTCCAAGAAGTTTTCAGAATTTCAGAAAACCTAAAAACTTAGTTCATAAGGTTTTTGAATATGTGTTATAAACATGTAACTATTTGAACTAAACATTACAAAATAATATCAATTGGGATGAAAAATGTCAAGGTTCTGTAAGAAATTAGTGGAAAATCACCACTGTAAGTCATTTCTTATGATTTCAGTCTAAAGTATTCTGCATTACATCCTGGTTCTTATTCCAAAAATATATTGATTAAAATGACTTAGGCAAAGTAAGTCCTGGACAAAAGAAAAGGAACAGAACTGTGGACTGGGTGATGTATTTTCAGATGTACGTCTCCAATTCCCTCCTATTATTACAAAATTTAATTCTTTGGTAAAGTATCATGAACTAAAAGTAAAAAGTTGTAGATCAGAAACTCTTGTTTCATTTCCCTACTCTGGTACCAACATGCAGTGTGACCTTAAGCAAGTCTGATTTTTTTAACTCTCCTAGATACTCAGGAGGCTGAGATCTGAGGATCACCTGTCAAAGCCAAACCAGGCAGAAAAATCCATGAGCCTCTTCTCGCCAATTAGCCAACACAAACCACTTGAAGCTGTGGTTCAAAGTGGCAGAGAGCTAGCCTTGAGCACAAAAGCTCAAGCACTCAGGCACAGCTGAGTTCAAGCCCCAAGACCGACAGGGGGAAGGGAGGAGGGGGAGAGAAACCATTTACACAGTATTACTGGGTAACATTTACTAGCCATGGCTATTTGCACAACAACTATATTAAGTGGGCACCTACTCTATTTTATAAATGAGGTGAGGAAGGCACTACAATGTACAATATTCCAGAACACAAAATAAGTGGCAGTGTCCGCTAAGAAGCGCTTTGGCAACAGGAAAGCTTCCAGACCAAGTACTGTGCGCCGTCGTACTTAAAACTCAAAACGTGAACTCATTTTGCCTGCAGTTTATCCTTCTCTTCCGGTATCAATAGGAAGAAAAAGTGGGTTAACAGAAATAAAAACGACCAGGAGACTGACATTTCCACAGCAATGTAACCGGCCCGCCGAGAAGGCGGTTTAATCTTGAAATGCTTCATCACCGTTTCATCTTCTTGGGTTTAGACCAGAAAGTTCTAATGATCACTTGAGTATGTACCCGGCGTCGGGAATGAAAGCAAATTAATTACCCCCAGCCAAGGGAGCGGCCTAACTACCACCCCGCCGACGGCCCTCAGCGACGAGCCGCGGGAAGGCAGGCCGAAGCCGAGGGAGGCCTCGATTAGTTTGCAGAGTGCAGGAAAGTTCACGCCCAGTGCTCGCCAGGCTGTCACCGGGCTCGCTCCCGGTCTGTCCAGGGTGAGGCCCGGGAGGCCGGCGGACCGCCCCACGCCGCACCCGCTAAACTTCAGCCGCTGCTTTCGAGCCCACCTGAGGCCAGGGAAGCCCGAGGCCGCCGGCCAGCCGTGCGTCAGGTGCGGCCGGGAGACCCGGGCGCGCACCGCCGGGCCCGGCCTAGCCGCCCCCCGCGTCCCCCGCGCCAGGCGCACCCTCCACCTCCCGAGGCGCGGGCGCCCCAGACTCCGCAACACTCCGCAACCATTCGAGCGGCCTGGCCGCGGAGGAAAGGCCTCGGACTCGGGCCTGGCGAACTCGGGGCGCGTCACGGCCCCCGCCAGGCGAGAGGCTCCGGGTGAGGCCTACAACCCAGACCCCGCCTCCGGCCTACGCTCGGACGGGCCTCGCGGCCGCCACACCACAAAACACAGCTCGCGCCGGCTCCTTACCGTTTCACCACGCCGGTCTTGATCTTGATCTGCCTCACGCGAGGGTCCGCCATAGCCTCTGAACCGCGCGGGAAGGAGGGGCAGAGAGCGAGAGCCGAGGTGGCGAAAGCGGTGGATGGCGGACGGCGCGGAGGGGGCGGTTAAATCCCGCTGGCTCGCCCGTGCGCACGCGCAGTGCGCGGCCCGGCCGCTCCGCCCCGCCTCCCCTCCCGTCCGTGGGCGGGGCTTTTCCGGGTAATCCCAGGCTCCGGGCGTCCGGGCGGCCGACAGGTCCTCCTCCAGCGCTGCCACCCAGTTTTTACCTCGTGGAAACTGCCTTCCTGCTTGGACAGCCCTCGTACCCTTTACACTTTGTCGTTATTTTCCTGTGCCAGATAGTGGTCTCGTTGGGTAGGAGCTAAGAAGGCCTGATCAGGGATGCTGAAGGCCCAGGGATGCAGGATTCCATTACAATACCCCAAGATGGCCATCACCCTTGACCAACTATTGAGATAATGGCACTGTACCTTCCTTATGTAGAAGCAGACTTCTCGCGCCAGGTTTGGGGACTTAGCTTGGGGACCTAATAACTGCTATGTGGCCTTCCCCTGGTGGCCCTAAACCTGGACGGGCAGAGGATCAAATGCACAAGCCATGCCTTTGCGCACCCGGGCAGCCATCGTGCAGTCAAGTTATTTGGGGAAAGGCCTCAGTTTTTTGCCTTATTTGACAAAACTTCAATCCTGCCTTCTACTCAGTAGCTTCATATTTAATGGCCCATTTCTCTCCTTGAGGTGTAATTTTGCTTTGCTAATAAATCACCCTACTATTGCCTCTTTTTTTTTTCCTTTGGTCATGGTGATGGTTTTGCACCCAGCAAAGTGTCCTAATCTTAGGCTACATTGTACCCAAGAACTGAGGAACATCTGGAAACCTCCAACCTCACCAGTAATAGTTGGACAGGAATATTGCTTTGTAAGATTATCTGCTTAATAGAACGACCTGAAAACTGTATTAAGGATATTTTTATCTTAATTATTTGGCATTAAATGGTACAAAACAATGTGTGTTTTGTGAAATTAAATAGTATGCATACAGTTAAAAAAAAATCCTTACCCTTTTACCTCAAATCCCTATAAAAGGGTAGATACTGTGATTTACCAAGGAAATGACTTCTTCAAATCATCACTATCACTAGTGTATCGTAAGTGTCAACATATATGTGTGTAGCATACAGAAGCTTGAGCTTCCTAGTCAGACTTAGAAACTTACATTTGAGATTCTATACTCTTTTTTTACTTTATTTATTTATTGGTCGTGGGGCCTGAACTCTGGGCAGAGGCACTGTCCCTCAGCTCTTCAGCTCAACTCTAGCACTCTACCACTTAAGCCACAGTGCAACTTCCAGCTTTTTCTGCTTATGTAGTGCTAAGGAATTGAATTCAGGGCGTCATGAATGCAAGGCAAGCACTCTACCACTGGGCCACCTTCCCAGCCTGAGATTCTATACTTTCAAGAGCTACTCTGAACAGCATTTAACCTTCCCTCTATCTAGCCTGTTTCCTCCTCTGTGAAATGGAAATCATGCCTACTTTACAGGGTAGACATGCTATTAAGCAGCTAAATAGAAGCAGGAACAAGGAATTATCCTGGTCTGTAAAATTCCATTTCTTCTGGGTAAAGACAGAATCTTGAAAACCAGATGGTCCACACACTGCACCAGTGACATCTTCCTCATCTCACACACCTCCCACATCAAGGCTGAGCATACATCCTGAGAGTGTGGTGGCTGCTAAGTGACCTTCCCCTAGCTGCACAAAACCAGCAAGAGCAAAAGAATCAAATGCACAGGCACCTGCCCTCACCTTCTCAAAAGCTTAGGTGTATGACTTCCCACGTCCCAGCAGCCACTGCATAGTTACCTAACCATCTGGGAAGGGCTAGAAAGGGGGAGTCCCAGATTTTCTTCATCCTAGTAGTCCTGCCCTATTGAATATAAAACCCTAAGCCCCAATAACTCTGAGGTAGTTGATCCTATCTCATATTTGGGGGTGTACTTTCACTTTACTAAGAAATCATTCCCCCTATCTTTCTACTCATGGTGCCTCTTTTGCTATACCTAAGGCAACATCTTAGTATTGAAAGTCATATTCAAAAACCTAGGGACACCCCATCAAGTAGTTACAGTGTGTAGGTAAACAGTATTTAGAATCTACTATGCCGAAGGCACAGTAGATACTAAAAACTTTTGATGGTATTTCAAAAATACGTTTGTCACATTAGAAATAAGCACACTCCAGTGACTGACTTCTTGTTGGAATTCGACAAGAAATGCAGAGTACAACTTCCTTTTGAAAGGTTAAAGTTTGAGGCAGTGACCACCATGTGTTGCTTGTTTCTGTCTAGCAAAGCAATACGTGGTGGTAATCAAAACACGTGGTTGATTGTGTACCTATATAAGACCTGCAAATCCTTAGCTCAGGGCTCTCCTCCTGGGCTCCGCTGTGTAGGAGTGTAGGACGAGGCCTGAGCTGTAGTCCGTTTAAATAAAACAGCTGTGGAGTCTGACTCTCGGTGGTCTTCTTGAGGGGAGGGGTCCTGCGACCTTGGCATAGCACTTTGTTTCCTTATTTCCTCCTACTATCCTTTAAAGCTGACTATACTACTCTCTTTGTCTTTCCTGCCACTTGGTTCACTCATTCTCACTTTCCTGGCTGGCTCTGGAATGTGTTCTACCCTTCTGGTACAAGATGCTTGGTTAAAATCCTCAATCAAACCCCAATTCCTCCACAGAATCTACCTGCCTGTGCAATCCTCCCTGGAAACTCTGAATCACCCAATGGCAATTTAAATTTTTGGTATGCTTGCCAGTATTGTTTGGTTTCTTCATGAGCACTACGCTAAACACTCCTTGGTAGATTACAAGCATCTTTTGAAGTAAGCATCTTATCTTTCATAAATCTTCCTCCCCTGTAATCTTCATGTTACAGGGTGCTAAATTCAATAAATATTGTTACCCAGTTGTCTAGTACACTGATAATTCCAGGTGACACAGAAGAGCTGAGAAATTCTGGGGGGGGGGCGGTTGGGGGAGGGAATGCAGGAAGGGATATAACAGCAATCTCATGGAAGCAAAATTCTGCAAACATAACCATCTCCAAAAATCACACTGGAAGAATGACAGCAGCAAGGGCTTGCTTGACACATCAGAAAATAAAGTCATATAACTGACCATATTTTCCTTTTTGTCTTAATTTTAAGAGTTCAGTTATGTACTAATTTGCAGTTTTTCTTAGACAAATACCTACTCTCTCTCTCTCTCTCTCTCCCAAAGTGCCATGTCTGGCTTCTTTGTATTGTCCCTTCTTTCTTAGTTTGCATTTGTGCCTTTACCTTAAACTGACCAACAAATGCATTTCAGTAGCCAAAAGACCTATGTGGCAGCTGCTGATGTGTATTCTGAATCCCAGGCCCAGGCCCTGGCCCTTGCTGCATAGCACCAGACAAGTTACTTAACCTTTTTCTGTCTCCATTTGTCTCAATCTGCAAAATATACCTAATAATAATACTACCTACTTCATAAGGTTATTATAAAGTGTAAATTATCTATTATTTATAAAGTTCCTCAGATAATCTTGGTACTTATATGGCACCATAGAAAGTTTGTTATGTAATTCATCTAGAAAAGAGGTCCTAAATAAGAAAGTACCAAATACAGTAAGTAGGATATGGATATAGAAATGTAGATATGATCATTAATGAGATAGTATTTTCATGTTTAATTGATACTTTTACAATGAAAAGATCATGCTTGAGTTACCATGATACTTCAATTTGTGGTAATACTTGGCACATACTAGGTACTTATTAATATAATATTAATATTTCTTGTATGTTTCACTGTGTTTGTCTGTCTTTGTCTATCCTGTCTGTCTCTATCTGTCTGTCTCTGTCCCTGTCTCACTATGTTCCCCCAGGCCATCCTTAAACTCATAATTTCTTGCTCAGCTTCTCTACTAGTTGAAATTACATGCATTTGACATCATACCTGCCTAGAAATATATCTTGAATAATTGCTCTTAAAATCTTTTTTTTTTCTCATTTAACAATAGAACATGGAGACTTCTTATCTCAGTAAGAAGACTACTAAGGTGACTTGAAACACACTTCTCTCCTTCCCAATATCTCTCCTCCACACACCATCTTCCTCTTGGCCTTGCTTTTTTGGGTCTGGTCTTCGAGGAGACAGATTATCTAGAAGGTCATTTCAGATCAGGAAAAGACAGTGCTAACCATAAAGGGGCCTGCAGGCTTTACATAAGAAGATACTTGAAAACATTCAAAATGAATGCTAAGGAAGTTACATTTTTCACTGAAACCTTTCATTTGGTTATCTCTAAACCTGGCCAATTGTTTAAATATTCTCCTTGACATCAGGTGATCTACAGGAGTAAGTCCATAAAGGGTTCTATACAAGATGAGTTCATTAGCATTTGAGATGGAGCATTGAAGAGGTCAGAGAGACACAACTTTCAGGAGTAATGGAGGCTGGCAGACAAGGCAAGTCCAGCCATCTTCTTGACATGTTATTTTTCCAATGCCAATCTAGGAGGGTTGCGATAATATTTTTCTTGGAGAACACAACAGATTCCTTTTCAAAGCTGAGATACGTTCTCCATGTACTTGCTAGTCTATGAACTCTTTCCTCAACTTCTTGTCACAGAATTTTTTACGGTGGAACTCCAAGCTCCTCAAGATAAGCATTACATTACATTCATCCCAGGTTCCTCCACATCAAGCTTAATGCCTGCTGCCTGGTAGATGCTCAGTAAAGATTTGCTAAGGTAAATAAGACAAACGTGGGGCCAAGAAAAATGTCTAACTTTGATGAAAACAAGAGACTGGCTATGTTTTACTTACATGGGGCCATGATGCAACATGTATACAACAAGACTTCTCCAGGACTCTGGGGCCCAGCATGAAGTTGCTATGATAGTGTGCTTCAATATAAAAAAACCAAGGGGCCAACTAGAGAAGTTGTTCCTGGAGAGATTATTCAAATGAAGATGTTGATTCAAGTATACTTTCAGGGAAATAATTACTTCTAGATGCTTGAGAGACCTAGGAGCTTCTCTTCTGTCTCTTCTATTTGTATATTATTTAGATTCTTTTACTCT